CCCCAAAACCCCAAAACCCCATTTGCCCAAACATAAATATCAGTATTCAAAAAAATCTAAAATATTCAATTTAACTTTGCTTGATCATTATTAACAATTTTATCTATTAACTAGTTATATACCTTGTTATTTTAATGGTCCTTATTTCTAATAATTTTTACAAGAGCAGATCTCGTATTTTCATCTAATATTCGACTTAAATCACCTCGTCTATTAGCTAAACCACCTTTAATGATTTCCCCAATACGTTCTCTGAACTCTTATTCAAAGCTATTTAGTCTTAACTACTCTTTCTTAATGTTTTATCTCGACAGTTTTAACAGTTAAATTTTCTCAGGATTTTTAGCATGCTAGAGTTCTTCATTTTAAAGAGATTAGTATTGAATAGGATTGTGCTCCAATCTACTTAATTTGTTTCTTGTCATCTAATTATTTGGACTCTCAATTGAAGTAATTATAGATTATTTTGATAGCTAACTTATAGATTGCATTCTAGTCGGGGAAAGCATTTTTGATGGACTAAAGTTTTATAGTCTCAACTCTGACTAGTATCTATTGTCTATCTTAGATCTTTCCTAATCCATAATGTATTTTATAACTGTATTATTTCTGTTGATAGTCTTTTATGTTATGTAGCTTCCTCCTGTGATTTCATTCCAACTACTTTTTTCTAGACTATACTACTAATCTTATTTCATACTGTCTCTTGATGTGCCTTTAATAGCTGAAACAGATTGTAGTTTATTTCAACTGATTCATTAAATAGTTCCTATACTATTGTTTTAGTTACTAAAATTCAATAATGATCTTTCATCATTCAATCCTCTATTCTTAACCTGTGCTAGATCTATCTCTCCCAGAGTGAATAACTTCTTGTACTCATTATCTTGCGTCATTTTTTGATTAACTTCCCTTATATATTTAAGTCTTTCTTTTAAATCCATCTTGGCTTAATCTTTTTGAAACTATTTTTCTCTTTTTAACCTTAGCTCAGCTTCATTTTTGTATACAACCTTATCTAAAGCGTCGTTGAACTGTTAAACAGTCGCTTCTTCGCTAATCTCAAACATTTTCTTAGCTTCCTTTCTTGCAAGTTATACTGTTTTATTTGGAAAGTCCTCCTTAAGATAGGATGGTACAATTGGACCTCTTTTCTTTATTTTAGATAATTTACTTTTCAAACCACCAAGGAGGCTACCACCAACACTGTTGGAAATTTTACTCTCTTTTCTAATTCTTTACACTGATTGAACTTGAGAAAGAATACTACCACCATTTGATTCATGAATAAAACTCCTCAATAAACTTAATCTCTGTGCTTTGGCAAGTTTTGATAATCTTTTTTAATCTTAATCTTAGGTTTCATTCTCTTCATTCGATGTAACATAAGTTTTGTTTATGTTTTCAAAGCTTTCATTAAGAAATTTTACATGTAAATCAGGAAGAATGATACTATTTAGTTTTTACTTGAATCTTTTATCATTTGATTTAGGTGATTGTTAAGTTAATCTCTCAGGAGATAAATTAAATGAATCCATTTGTAATTAATTTGATGGAATAATTTTCTTATAAAATCTTTACTTATTAAGATCTTTTAAACAAGGGGTTTTGGGGTTTTGGGG